CTCATGTGATCATATATATATATATTATATATAGGGGTTGATTCCATTAAAAATTAATCATAGTGTGAGAACTGTATTTGATGTTATTTTTAATTGTGTATGACACTATTTTTAATATTACATAGTATTATTATTTCCACAAATGCTAATATAAATTGTGTTGTCATTTTTAATAAAAATATATTCTGGTTAAAAATAACACCAAAACACAATCAATCATAGCACTACGTACAATTTAAAACAACAGTTCTCACTGTTCTCACTTTAAAATCTGGTTCTCATTTGAACTAGTCTTATGTGTGTACGTGTGTATGTATGTATAAGCATTTTTCTAAAGGAATTAATCATATTCCTTACAAAAAATAAGGGCACGCATCTTTTCACCTCACTGACTACTGTAACTATATATTAAACTTTTTAGTCCGTTCGCTGACAATTTAATTCTTTCACCACAAAAAGTGTGAAAGATTATGCGAATGAACCGCATAACTGTTGCATATTAATCGCATAATACCTTCACACTTCAACTTTTCCATCACATAATGTGCGAAAGGTTATGCAATTGTCTCATATTAATTGTACAAAGCCTTCACACTTTCTAAAATGAAAAAGGTTGACATATTAGTTGGTGGTGTGAAAAGTTCAATATATTTTCGATGTGCAGTGATAATAGGTATTGTTCACAAATATCAAATCCCCTAACAAACAAATGGTGGAGAGATGATCTCACATCACTCACTTAAAGTAAGTCAGATGCAAATTAACCAGCTAAAAATGTACTTATACAACTTCTTCCCCTTACAAATACTTATAATAATTACAAACACATAAACTTTTATCCTTCAATGGAGTCTTGAGAGATCAAGTTCGTGTGCCTAGTCGAACCCAGTGAAACGAACCATCAAAACTCAAACCCATCTGACCTCAAAATTGACCAAAATGCATTACAAATCCATGGTACAGATACAATCCAACCACCAATTATCTTGAAATTACTTCATAATAATCCCACATCGATCATTATACTTTTGCAGCCATAGTCATGTCATGCATACCACTCTAGCACCATAATACAACACAAATACTATCTTGCTATAAATTATAATTAGTACTCTAGCATCATACCCACTACAAAATCCACTTACTTACCCTTCATACACACAATATGTACACTTATATTTGTTAGGTTCATTACAAAGCATACATATATGACTGTGAAATCATAATAGATGCTGGCTATGTCTCTTATGGTCAGGCCGCCGCCATTGTTTTGGCTTCGGTGGCGGCAGCTGCCACTTCCGGCGACTGGGTTTGGTCGTCTTTGGTCATGCCTGCACGCCTCTCTTTTCTTTCGTCTTGGTTCATTTGTTGCTCTCTACACTCTTGGCTACAAAATGCGGTATCACCCCTGCATAATTATTAAATCACGCGACAACGAAACTT